GAGATATTATGCTAACAAATAGAACTGACAGGTAATGGAAAAATATATATACACTTGTGTAATCGTTTCAAGCTCAGAAAGTGCCTTGGGGATGTTTCAGACAAGGACAAAAACATTATTGTTCACCTTTGCCTTTTGCCTTCAGGCAATATTGACCACAAATATCTAAAATTTGAGCTTTGCCACTTTCTGCTTTATCTCACTTTTTGCTAATTTAGCTTTAGCCTAACGCATTAATTGCATCCTCGTTAGTTACCTCCCACATAACACTTTGTCAGTGCTGCTACAGCGTGCCCTCTCAGGACATCGTTACCTGCAGTGTCCCCTCAGTGTGGACTGAACTCGGCTAAAGGGTCTTCTCTTACTTCGCTCCCGTTTCCTGGAATACTTTGCAAAAAGATCTGAAGTTGTCAACTTTGACCTCTCTAAAAGGGATTTTAAACAATTGTGAATGCAGACATGTTCCTGTTTTTAGTATTTTACAATTGCTTCATAGTGTAACTGTTTTTATATCATTTTTATATAATTTATGTCATTTTCATTGTATATGCCTTTATATGATTGTCTATTGTTGTCTGTACCTCATCTGTGCTCTTTGTTTAAAACAGGTCTCTTGTAAGCGAGTCCTTGTGGCTCAGTGAGACTAACCTGTATAAATAAAGGTTGAATGAATTAACACTTTTAGCTTTGGGCTAGTGTTCTGCTTGTTTTTAGCTCTTGGCTGTTTCAGTTTTCTTAGCATCGATGCTGCATTTTCACACAAAAAAATACAACTTCTCTATTTTATATTCAGAACTGTACAATACAAATAATTTATGTGATTGAACGTTAAAACAGTCTGCCATAGGACAACCCTGTTATTAGTCGTTAGTGCACATCAGGGTGGCGTGCCTATTTATGTGAACGTCCAGGGCTGTTTCATGTCAGCGTGCACCGAAATCAGAAATAAAGCAAAAGCTGAAATATGTCTCTGTGTGCAAGACAAACTAAAGCACAAGGGCATAAATCTTTTAAACCCTGAGCCACTGACATCCCCACACCCCAGAGGTACGACAAAAAAAAATTCTAATTACGCCACTTAACATCACATTGGCGAGTCCCGGGTGAGCCCAAGCGAGCATATAATTCATAGTACTAAGTATCTGTACCAGCCAAATACATAAACTTTCAAGGATGCATAGTCAAGTGCCGGGAAGACTGCTGGGACAAGCTGGGAGTTTTAAAAGCAAAGGTTTTTTTTTTTTTCCTACTTCAGAATTCAGAGAGGAGATCAGAGGACATCAGCAGAATTATAGACAGGAGTATCTATTGGAGCAGGGGTTCATCATTGTTTGCAAACAAGTCCAGTTCCTGGTTCTAATCCTTTCACATAGGGCGTTGGGGGGGGTCTGTTTTAATGCCTCATGCCGATTAAAAGACACTAAGCATCCCCCACCCCCCTCCCTCGCTGAAGATCTCTTATTAGAGCAAGCTCAAGCCACTGTCTGACAGGTCAATCTGCATGAACTTCGCTTCCAGAAAATCTCCTGATAAGAATAAAAAAAAAAAAAAAGTGGTTGATTGGTGATGTAATACTACCGCAACAAAGGGTAAGTGAGAAAATGGATGAATATTCAAAGTTTAAAGCTGAAGATCAGTAGGATCTCTTTATTTAAACTTCAGAATTTAATATTTCATGTAATATTCCCCAAAGAAATCTGAACACTCCCTCTACACTGTTTCCATCGTAACGCCTTTAAGTGTGCTGGTGAAACCAGTGGTTCCCAAAGTTGGGACCACTATTTGGATCGTGAGAAGAATTTCAGAAATCAAGATGACTTTTAAAATGGTAAAGGCATATTTAATACTAATTAAAAAAAAAAAAAAAAACGATAAATCAAGCATCAAAAATTTAATGAACAGAAGCAATGTTGCAATATTTCAGTCGGCAATGGTTGGGGTCATGAGTTTCTTAATTCGTTCATTCAACCTTTATTTATACAGGTTAGTCTCATCGAGCCACAAGGACTCATTTACAAGAGAGACCTGTTTTAAACAAATAACACAGATCAGGTACACACAACAATAAGCGATCATGTAAAAAGCATATAAAATGAAGAATTATATATAAAAATACTAAACTAAAGCAGCTACATTATAAAGCGATGTAAAATGCTAAAAACAGGAACATGTCTGTGTTGGCGTTTGCCATAAACTTAGCAGTTGTTTAAAATCCCTTAGAGAGGTCAAGGTCGAGAGCTTCAGATCTTTTTTGTAAGGTATTCCAGGAAACAAGAACGGAGTAGAAGAAGGCTCTTTTGCCAAGTTCGGGACACACTGATGTGACACTGCATGTAATTATGTCCTGAGGGCGCACGCTGTAGCTGCACTCACGTAGTGACATGTAGGTGGAGATGTATAAAGGCAGCAGACCAAGAAGTGATTTAAAGATGAAAACTCACAACAGGGGCCCAAAATTAAAACCTTTTTCAAACTAAGGACCAATTTCAGAAACATTAACTCGGATCAGATAACCGACATCTTTTCTTGGTCACAGGTTCCCCAACGAGAGTTTGACTGGTCTCGTTCGATGTTCTCTGCTGTGCTTTCGACATCATAATCAAAGATTACTGGAAAAAAAATTCAAGAGGTAGAAGTATTTTATGTTTCACATATCCTCTTGGGGGTCAGATAAGATGGCAACGAGGGACACATTTGCCCCCCCCCCCCCCCCCGGGCCTTGATTTGACACATATGGGTTAGAGAGTCTGTGAATACAGGGTGCAGTGGTGGGTACGGTAGTTACAGCCAGTTATGAATCTTAGTGCACCGTGATAGACAGCATCCAACATCTGCAGGGTGCTTGTAGGAACGTTCATGTAAATAATGTCACCGTAGTCAATGGAACGAAGGAGAGTCACAGTTGCAAGGTGTTTCCCAACATTCAGAGTTAGATAGGATCTGTTTCTGAAAAAGAAACCCAGTTTCAACTTCCAATTTCAGTCCAAAGTTTTCGACATGAGGCTTAAAAGAGAGATGCAAGTCGACCAAGTTTCCCATGATATAGTATAAGAATCGACAAACTCAATAGAGACACCCCAACATTTTTTCAGTCAGGTCATCTGGACAGTTTCTTTTTTTGTGCTGAAACGTTTCGCCTTCGATCCGGAAGGCTTCATCAGTCAAGGAAACACACAACAAAACGGATCCCCCCCCCCCCCCC